ATAATTCTGGAATCCCTTTCATTTATATAGAAAAATAGAATTGTTGCAGGGACTTGAATATTTGCAGTTGTATAACTAACCTAATATTTCTTGGTGACAGAGAGACAAAGCTAAATCATAAATAGAAGGATGCCTTAAGGGAGCGAATGAGTTGGATGCTTAGGGAACCAGCTAAAAATAAGGCACCAGTCTCAGAGTGGAGACAGGCTTGTCTGAAGGGCCAGGACAAGCATTCTGAGCTCAGGACTCCCTGTACTTACTTAGACAATAAGAGCAGACTTGCCAAGGGGTTTGGCAAAGATTCCTTCCAGCTGGATCTGCCAAAACCTGCCTGGTTTTCTTTTTTGTTTCTAAGACTAACCAATCTTTTTTGGATTAACCTCATCTAATCTTTCTTTAGTGGTGCAAATATATTTAATTAGATCACAGTCAAATCTTTCAAATCCAGAAAGTATTTCTGCTTAAAGTGACCTTACAGATGAGAGCAAAGATTATTGATTTCACTTCAAAGAATCTCATATTTTCTCTTATTTAAGAGGTTTCAGGGATATTTTATGGTGCAGCCCAGGTATTAAAATTTATAGACCTTACTTACTTGATAGTAAATAAAATATTTAGTTGGAACCAGAGTGTGGGTTTTTTTTTTTCTGTATTCTATGTTGGTATCTAGGAAGGTCATCTATACCTAGGAGCCACCAATCATGATATGAAATAATGAGAATTATTGAGAGATCTGAAACAGACAGCATAGGGAAAAAGGGACCAGAAAAAGAAAACAGAAATTAAGTGTAAGATAAACAAAGGACAATGGAAAAACACAAAATAACAGCATGTATGCTATAAAGCACATGAGTACAATATTGCTACTATTATCAAGTGCCATTTGTCACCAACTCGTTGATAAGACAGAACTGAGCTTATTGCTTGTCATGATAAGGGAGAGCACCAACTCTGCAGAGCCTTATGTCCCCAACACAGAAGTCAGGTAGGTATTCCAATGTGGCACTTGATTAAGATGGGTGACCATCATGATAGTTTAAGATTGCTCAAAAAAAAAAAAAAAAAAAAAGTGAGCATTTCTAAGGGAGAAGTTCAAAGAGTCTTGAGATAGAAATTATCTATTGAAAAGTTCATAGGACTTAAAAACAGCATACTACGGGGGACACAGCCACATCAATGTTTACAGCAGCACAATTCACAATAGTTAAACTGTGGAACCAACCTAGATGCCCTTTAATAGATGAATGGTTAAAAAAAAAAGTGGCACATATACACAATGGAATATTACTCTGCAATAAAAGAAAATAAAATCATGGCATTTGCAGGTAAATGGATGGAATTAGAGAAGATAATGCTAAGTGAAATTAGCCAATCCCCCAAAACCAAATGCCGAATGTTTTCTTTGGTATAAGGAGGCTGATTCATAGTTGGATAGGGAGAGGGAGCATGGGAGGAATGGATGAACTCTAGATAGGGCACAGGGGTTGGAGGGAAGGGAGGGGGCATGGGGTAATTAATGATGGTGGAATGTGATGATCATTACTATCCAAAGTACAAGTATGAAGACATGAATTGGTGTGAATATACTATGTATACAACCAGAGATAAGAAAAATTGTGCTCTATATGTGTAATAGAATTGTAATGCAAAAAAAAAAAAAGAGTCTCTTGGATACAAAACTACTCCAATAAATCCTGCTACTCAGTATTCATTGTGAACATGGCCCCTAAACAGTGTGGGACAAGTGGGTCTTTGTTCTTAGTACAATCTGTACATTATATAAAATGTAAAATATCTTATCGACTGCTTTGTTAAACAGCTCCAGAGAGCAGCATCCACACTCTAATCTATGTAAATAATGCTCCTGGATTATTCAGTGCAACAGACCTATTATATTCCCATTACCTAATGTAATATATTTAGTCTGGGGTGTAAGAAACAATACAATACGTCATATATGATATAAATTGTACCTCCTACACAGTATAGAACACTTATGATAAGGAGGAAGCAGTAGAATGCTTTCACAATTTACAAAATGTCTCTCCACACATTTGGATTTTTTGTTTGTTTGTTTTCATAAAAAGGTGCATTTGTCAGATAAGAACTGATTCAATCAAGAGCGAGACCTTTTTGAGGTCCCAACCTCTAGCAAAGTGCTTGACCCACACTGGGCCATCAAGAAACATAAAATGCTAAATACAATTAACCTACCTCTCAATTTACCCGACATCCATTAACATGTTTTTGTAGCAGTGTAACTAGGAAGTTGGCTTTTAGTTGCTTCACCTCATTTGGGGGTGTTGAGAGGTCTGTGAAGTCCAGCAGCCATCTTCCCCTTGCTAAGGCTATGACACCCCTCCCTGGGGTTCACCCTGCCACAGAGACCCAAGGGCATTCTGAAGGAGGGAGCCCAGCGGGATGTGGGAAGGAAGGTGCACTCCAGCCCCTCTGCTGAGAGTGCAGCCTCTACAAAGCCGAAGGACCGCTGGCTCAGAGAGATGGAGTGTACCATTTGCCCAGAACAGAGCACAAGACACAGACAGAGGCAGGAGACCCTGACAGGTTATTTATTAGGGAGACTCTTATGTCAAAGGTTGGGCTTGATCCTGGGAGAAAGGGAAAGCCTTTGAAAAGGGGCTTTAGGCTAAAGATAAACTTAATAAGATTAATGTTTTAGGAAGGTCCCTTTGCTTGAGGTAAAGGACACTAATGACCAGAAGCAATCCAGGTAGGAGATGCTAACCCATATTTGGCAGGCTTCCCTCACATGTCCTCTGGTGCCATACATACCTTGGTATAGGATTAGCATCAAAGGAATTCTGGCTCCACATGTGGAGCACCAAGATATTGACATGTACTGAATGTTGCAGGTAGACTGCAGGGAGAAAAGATTACTGAGTAAAACAGAATTCTGCTCCCCAAGTCCCCACTAGACACAGTTCTTCTGCTTTTTTCCCTAAGCTTTCAGCTAATTCCATCACAATCCTAGATCCTGCTCGCATGCATCTCCTCTGAGCTACCCAACCCCACCCTCTACTTGCATTTGTTACTGTGTGAAACAAGAGACAAGTACCTAATATCTGTGGCTTATGAGCTTGCTCCCAGAAATCAGAAATGGCCTGTTTAACCCACTAAAACAAGGACATGCACTTAGGTAGCTGCTGGGTGGATGGGGAAAATCGGTAAATACTGTGCAGACAAAACCAGCGGGGAAGGGGAGAAGCAAAATTGACTCCCTGAATCCAAGGCCCTTTTCAGGTTCTCACTAATTTTGACTTGGATTTCTATTGCATTTGCCTCATTGCAGTCCTTCTCCCTAGTTTCTACCCAAATGTATCAAATGGATTGTAGCAAACCTGTCTCTCTTCATGTTACTGCTACTTGAGAGCTCAGCCTCCTTTGCATGGTCTGTGAGGACCTTTTGTGAGAGTTCTTGTCTGTAAGGAGACTCCTCTCCCACTACACCCTCATAGGACTACACTCAGTAGAATAACTATACTTAGGCTTAAGGAATGAGTTTTGATTTCTGTGCCATCTTCTCTCATTCATACACTGTTTTACACAAACTACACAACTTCTGCTGGCTTTTGCAGATTCCCAATCAAGCCTCCCTTCCTCCAAACCATTTTCACACCCACTCCAGGTGCTACCCAGCCCTTTCCCTTTGTGGAATACAGAGATTCTTGTCCAGATTACCTTACACACCTGTTACAGTACAAATTCTCTTGTTTTCTAATTAACCCCTTCTTCCCACCTAGACTGTAAGCTCTTTGAGGACAAGGACTATAATTTTTCCACCTTTGGATACTTGGCATCCAGCCTGGAATCTGCTCACAAAATCTAATTGTGGAATGAATAAATACCAGCAGTGAAACCAAGATTCAGGTCTAGAATTTTCCACCCTAAATTCAGTGCTTTTTCTTATTATGTCACAGTTAAGATCCTCACATCATGGCAGAGGACCAAATAACTTCACACTATCAGAGGGATAGATTTTTTTTATTCTTCTTCCAGCACTGTGAGAAACAAATTGGTAATTAAATGGGTAAGTCAACATGGTTATTAAGAGACTATACTATTAAGCCTACACTGCCTCCTTTCAAAATGTTTAATTCCCACCTACATTGAAAGATAGCTAAAAATTTTAGTCCTAAAGTTAGCAACATGACATAGTATCCTTCCTTGTATTTTATTGCAAATTTAAGAATATTCGAAAGATCTATTTTTAAGCAAACACATTCATATCATATCCATCAGTAAATGCCCTTAAATATACAGAAGCAATTTTTCCAATTAAAATTCTTATTTTTTCATATTCTCTTTCTTGCTATGAGAGGACCTAGAACATAAAAAGAGTAGAATGAAAATCTGTCAGTGTGGTTGCCTTTTTCTTTCCATAATCAGCAGCAAAATGTTTCACTGATTGAGGAAAAAAAAAGTAAAAATGGTAATAACGTGCTCTCATAAATGTTTCAACATTATCTTTGTGGTATGGGATTCCATAAGGAAGACTATCAGCATAGCAATTTTAAATAGTAATAATCTAACCCATGCAGGTTTTATTTAAAGGTCTCTCCCTAAAAAGTAATAAAATCAACAGGTCAAGAAAACTTTAACAATGTATTTATTGGAAATGAACCAGACATTACATTAACCAGATGAAGATGTAAAATGCATGGAATCTAACTGGTGGGACATTTTTAAAAATCACAAATGAGAAAGAAAATTCATTTTCAAAAGAAAACATTGTATCCAAGTCACCTTAATCTCTGAACACCATAATATAACTCATAATGCTGGCATTAAACATCCAGAATAAAGTTTACTTTAAACTGAATAACAAAAAGAAAAGCTTCCCTCCCCCAACTTGAAGACTTCTTGGCTATCACTTGTGTCACCACACCCATAAGGCAATTTGTCTCACCCATAGAGTGAGATGATATTTGTCATATTCTTTTTTTAAATGTTTTTTTTAGTTGTAAATGAACATAATATATTTATTTTTATGTGACGCTGAGGATCAAACCCAGGGCCTCACATGTGCAAGGCAAGCGCTCTACCACTGAGCTACTACTACCCCAGCCCATGTCATATTACTCTTGATAGGGGAAAATTAAAAATAAAAAACCTTCTAAAGAGAGATTTTCAAGAAATCTAATAACAAGTCAATTGTTGGTTCCCAAGTGAATGGGGTACCTAGAATCATCATTTTCTAGAACCTAGAAGTGATATTAACTTGACTTACTAAAACAAGTCATTGTCTTTTAAGAAACCACTGAGATTCAATGGCATGCTGATCTTCAACAAGAATCCGTACTTTCACTGTTTCCAGTGGTAAGAGGGTTTCAGATGTCTGTCATCTGTTCATGGCGATTTTCTGAAACCTTGAGAGCTTTACTCTTGCACTCTGTAATACATTTCAGCTTGTGTATAACAAACTCTCTTTGAAGAAAATTACCCCCAAATAATCCATCTGTGAAAATCAAAGTGCTGCAAAAAGCAGTGCCGATAAATAGTTTGGAAAGGCAAAAAAACTGCACTGATTTTCAGAGGCACTATCGTAAAATCCTCTCTGAAAGGGAGAATTGCACGTGTACGTTGAAAACGACTTCCCTTCCGTATACCCAGCATGCATGAATGTCTTCTAACGAGCTATTTGCATGCAGCGGAAGCTCGGAGTCCAAATCAGAATTGTAGGTTTGGGTTGGGCTGGGTGCCACTTCCCCTTCCCTCCCAGTGGATTTCAACAGTTTTTCCTAAACATTTCACAGTTCTCCTAAAGTTTCCCATGAAAGGGGAAGATGATTAATAGCTTATTAGATTCTGTCAATTGGCCAAAAAAAAAAAAAAGTTTCTCAACACAGTATGTCCTCTTTAGGAAAAATCAATCATAATTGCATTTCCTTATCCTAAAATTGTAGGTCAAAAGAACTAAACTGTGGGCTTTTACAATTTGGTGGGGAAATAGCCAATCTGTGTCACTTGGTTACTGGGGCACCAAGTAACTGTTCACAACTGCAGAAGTCATTTAAATAAAAAGGTAGAAAGCTAACCCAGACAATTTAGATCCTAAATTATATTTTCAAGGCCTGATAGTTTCAGTCTGAGTCATAATGCTGGTCTTGTTTGCTAAAAAATTAGCGACATTCTTTTTCACCTTGAGCTGGGCAGACTCAGCCACAATGTCCTGCTTTCTCCTTATTTGTGTCTAAAGCAAAGCCTCACCAGACTCAAAATACATGAAGATGTAACATGCTCATTGGCACAAAGCAGGCAGGACGAAAAGGCCCCACCTTCCCAAAACACTCACTACAGCATGACTAGCAACCACTCATTTTCCTCATTCAGACAATGTCAGTAGAATTTAAGACAGGTACACATGAAGGTACATAAACGTTTCCACCTTCCCACCATTGCGTGAAACATGCTGTTCTTTGGAGAAAAAAATACATTCATTTTTTTCAAGTATATTTCAATATACAAAGATGCTCTAGCTTTGTTTCACTAAAAAGACAAAAAGACTTCACATGTGTCCAAGGGAAATTTCACTTGAACTTCCCTTTGGTGTGGATTTCATGAAGTTCTGACTAAAAAAAAAAAAAAATGCTCTAAATATATGTCTACTCATTTTATTTGAAAGTATGAACTCTTTAGATCCATTTCGTATGTATGTACAGAGTTCAGCAACAAGAGTGTCTGTGCACATGTACAACGGCTTGGGATGGGAGTGCTCTGATGAGAACGAGGGCCACTTGCTGGCGGGCTCAGCACCAGCGCTGGGTGGTTCGCCCGGCTTGAGTGTCCAGCTTGGGCCAGCAGCGTATGGGCTCTTCCTCTCTAATAGGCTAAGGAGCACTTTGTGCTGAGACAGCACATCTTGAATTATGGCTTATTTCCTGCCTTGGCTTTGTTGTTCGGGTTGCAGTTTAGTTCTTTCAGCAGCGTTTCGCAGTTGGCTAGAGCATCGGCCGGCAGCAGCTTCCGGATCTGCTCCACTGTCTTTTGATAAGCCATTTTTTCTTGTTCCAGGGTCCGGATTAAAGTCTTCATTTTGGTCTCTCTAGTTAAAAGATTTTCCAGGTTTGATTCCAAGGCTTGAATTTTAGCATGAGCCACCTGTTTGGAGGGGAGGGGGGAGTAAAATTATCCAAGTGAAAAATGTAAAGAATCTAGTTCTTAATGACAGCAGCAGCCAGGTCCCATGTCTGTAGTAATAACTGATATTAAATCACTTAGTAAAATATTATGTGAAGTGTGTAAAAAGGATATTTTTAGATTGCTCAAAAATATAACTATTATACTAATATGACTGATATCTTCTCACTGACTATACTAATAATGCAATACTAAATCATCACCCCACAATGCTGGGGTCCTCACTCCATGCTCACTGGGGTTCCCTGCAGGAGTGGGGTCTGGCGGGGCTGAAGGTGAAATGGGATTCCTGAAACCATCCTCCAGTGCTCAAAGAAGCTTTCTGCCCTCTCACTGGACATGCAGGTTCTTGAAACACATACTTGGGATTCCAGCAGTTTTTATGGTGTACTCAAGAAACTTAGAGACAACTACATGGAAGTGTCAGAGAAAAGGTCTGTAACAATTAACAGCAACCTTTAACTTAAATTAAGTGCCAGCTAGCTTTCCCCAGCTAGGAAATGCTCAATTTGTCATGGTTGAAATATCTGAATAAAATAAGGGACAAGATGCCAATTGTTGTTTTTTGTTTTAAATACACCATGTTGGCTCATTTTTGAATAGGAAAAATGATCAAAGTTTCTATGAGCCAGAGCTGATGTGAGATACAATGAGGGAAACTAGGTGTTCCTATTCTAGGGGAGAAACTACTTTAGAAACCCCTTGTTTCTAACCTATTTCCCTCCCAGCTGAATTTGACAGGGGACTCACCAAATGGAAGCAGGGTTTGAGAGTCTTCTAGGTTGGAGGCAGGGTAAATGGCAGGGCAGAAAAGGGGTGTGGGTGAATAGAAGTCAAGGGGCCACTAGGCACCTAAGCTCGAACTCAGAGCTCATCTCCCTGACGAAGAGTCACCTGCTGCTATGGTTTGGATACAGAGTGTGTCCCCCAAGAGCTCCTGTGTTGGAAGATTGGTCCTCAGTGTGGCAATATTACGAGGTAAGGTGGTGGGGCCTTGAAGAGGTGGGTCTGAGAGGCAGGTCTTTAGGTCACTGGGAGCTGCCCCAGAAGGGAACAAGGTAGATTTGATAGGACCCTGGTTAGTTCTTAAGGGCAGTTACCAAAGAACAAGACTGGCCCTTTCCAGTGCCTCTGGATTCCTTTCTCACCACATGATCACACCCTCTCCCACAAAGTCTCACCAAGATGACCTTTGATATGTGACACAGGAGGGGATGTGGGGGGGTGTTGCATGAGCTAGCACCACACTGTTTAGACTTTCAGCCTCCAAAAGTAGTGAGTTGGAAAATCTTTTCTTTATAAGTTACTCAGTTTCAGGTATTTCATTGCAGACAGAAAATAAGACTAATATACCTTCTATCCTCCACTCCTCAAGCACTTTTAAGGGCCTCTCCTCAGGGCATGAACACAGAGCACACATCATACTAACCGCAGACGCAGAATACTACTTTATAATAAAGTGTCTATTGCATTTGTAATATGTATTTATAGATAAATATTTGATATTTCATATTCTCAAGTAATTGTAAACTCCTAGATGGCAGGAACTATGTGTTACATGTTTTTATTCAGTTCACTCCAAAAGTCTCCTTCTCTGCCCCTTTCTGTTTTACTCTAGATAATAATTATCATCCCCAATCAGATCTTTGAAAATGTCTTCTAGTTGGCCTCCCTACATTCTCCCCATCCTAATCTGTCTCTATCAAGATTTTCAGATTCTTAAAAAAAAAAAGATTTTCAGGTTCTTCTTTCTAATGTATGACTCAAAAACATTGAAAGAGTTCTCTCTTAACAAGATTTAAAGCCATGCTCTTAGATTTGACATGAAAAGTCACCTACACCTCAGCCTCCATCATATTTACCTCATCTCTCCCAATGTAACTCATAAATTAATACCAAGCTAACTCTGTGCTCTGCCACATCCTCCCTATTGGTGCCACCCCCTGGGGGCCCAGTGTAAATGCCCTCTTCACTTCCTGCTTCAAAGAACCAGCTCAAGCTTTCCCAATGTCTCCTATTCAGTTCTTTTTCCCTTGATCTTAGCCAAATGTGTCTAATATTCAATAAGAATTTAACCATATTCTGTTTTGAATTGCCATTCCACCATTTGGGGGGTGTGCATTTTTTTCTCTTCCAAGTGATATTTAAATCCATAAGTACATTCATACTCCCAGGGTACTTGAACACAATCTGATACATGAGCCCTCAGCAGTGGCTGGATCCACATACACAACCCTATTATTCCCAGTATAGTTTCTGTGCATGCAGGATGCATTCATGCACTTCTTTGGTCAAATGTTTCTCTCTTTACCTGTAATTTTTCTAGCAGATCCATGTTCTGTCTTTTCAGTTGGCTATTGGCCCTCTCCAGCTTCTCTATAGGTTCATTATCCTCACAGGTATATGAAGATTCCTGAAGCTCATCCTGCAGGACGTGATATTCCACCTCATAGGCATGTAACTGTTTAGAAATATCCATCTCAAACACCTGCCACAGAAACACCAGAGGTTAGTCTGGCCTTCAAAAGATTATGATATTATATGATATAAGCTATGATCTCTGTACTGGCATACTTCATGTTACTTCCAAATGCTTATTAATGAAGAACATTAAAACACACAAAAGGGAAAAATAGGTGTGACTATCAATGCAGGAATAAATTGGATATAGATTAGACTGTTATATAAGAACCCAGAATATTTTTATACAACTGAAACATTCTGATGAAACAGAGTCATGAGAATAAATTAATGTCCAAGGGTATTTTGCAACGAAGATATTTATAATCTAGAAACTGTCTTCTGAAATGTAGTATACCAGATAAACAACATCAGTTATTGAGTAATTATGTTAGAGATAACTGCTGCTAATTAGTAAGCAAAATTGAATAGTGTATTTCTATACTACAGAGAACAAAAGCATTTCTAATGTATTTGTCAATGGGGCAGAGAGGTCTTTAGTAAATGGTTTCCATGTGAGCCTCTGGGGAATCATTTATATAAACACACACCCTGAGCACTGTCCAGAGCTGTAAGGTTTAACTAGAGATGCTGATATTCTCCCAGATTATCACCAAATAGGAAGACTATCTGCTTAGAAGTTAGAGGACAAATGACCCTCCTTGGTGTAGACTAACTGGAGGCAGCTGGAGTGAGTGAGGCCGAAGCTACCATTCAGGAAAATATGACTTATCCTACTACTATTAAAAGATACTTCAATATTAGAATTTTATATAAGGGGTTTCTAGACTAACTTATCTTCCTCACAAACAGGCACGCTCTTCCTTGCCTAGCAGGTGAAGATACACTGGACTATTTATTACATGACCACTAAAAGTGATCATATGGATATGTATTGACTGACGTGGAAAAACATCTAATACTTTTTTTCTACAGTGTTCATAAATAAAGCTCATCAAGATCTCCTCCAATACCAGCAGTTCATTCCAATAATCAATTCGAATTGTTAGGCAGCTCTCTCTAACATCAAATCCAAAATCATCTGCCTATAAATTCTACTCACAATTCCTTGTAGTAATATATAAAACCAAGCAATTCCCTCTTTAGCTTTTTGTTTTGTTTTTATTGGTAGTGTTGGGGATTGAACCCAGAGTCTTGCACATGCTAGGCAAGCACTCTACCACTGAGCTACACCCCTAGACCTCCTCGTTAACTGAGGTAATATCTGATTTCAAATCCCAAAAGCATAATCTCTGACTGCTTGCCAGTCAAAAAATATTTTCAAATAATAAGTAAATACGTAAATAAAAGCTACCCTTCTCCACTTAGAGTATCTTAACAAATAAAGAACTATTATTGGATATTTACAGAATGTTCTGCTTGTGGTTTAGGTTCCATGCAATGGAAAGATAATCTTATATGTGATAACAGGAGTTCACATTATAGTATATAAAATACTTTAACTTATAATATGAAGACATAATAGGATTTGATTATTGTTCTTCCCTTTTTGTAGGGAAGCTGAGACTCAGAGAGGCTGTCATTCCTCAAAATGACTATTATGTGGTGAGTCACCAAAACAAATCTCAAACTTACTTTCTCTTCTCTAAACTCTTGTCTTCTTTCCGCTATCCCAAGTGCTTCCAGAAAAGTGGTAAACTTTATCAATGCTCACAAAGCATTACTGTACGTTATACAAATCTAGTCTTTAGTTTGTTCACTTCATCTGAACAGCATCAATATATAACTAGCACTCACCAGGTCCCTATGAAGAGCCAGGGAACTAGATACATGGTGTGCAGATTACTTTCCATTTGCTTTTCGGATCCCTTCTCTTTCTCATCCCCTCTACTATGCACCAGGAGGCAGACTCCTGTGAACCACATGCCCCACAATTCCTTTCTGGCTGGCTTCTGGTTGAGCTTGGTCAATGGGAGGTGCTAGCCGGAGATCAGAAGGGTACAGGTCCTTCTTTTCTAACCCTGTCCTACTTAGTTTACTAAGAGCACAATAACTGAAAGGATCCCCTCCTTCACATTTCTGGCTCCCACTGATTCTGGTAACACCTTATATCCTTCACATGCCCCCCCAGCACCAGGGAGGAACAGCTTCCCTCTGCTTATAGTTCCTGGGCACCTGGACACAGATGCTGGATTCCCTTAAGCCACCCACACCTCTATAAATGCTTCCTTTGTCTGAATCATCAGAGGGAGAAGTTTCACAAAACTTCTTAGGTCAGTACTGACCCATTTTGGAACTGAGAGAAAACTAGGGTTCTGAAGATTAGGGTGATATTTGCAAGCCACACAACTAATGGGAGACCAACTAATAGATAATAATGTCAGCAAAAAACATTTCTTGGAGAAAAAAAAGCTAGAAGATGGTGCAAACCCAATACTTTCTAATTTCAAAATCTGCACACCTGCATTATGACCTCCTTGTATATTTTACAACAAAATTAAAAATACAAAGGCAAGGGAATCTCATTTTATTCTCAGATCTTCCTGACTGTGAGTTCTATTTTCAGTTTCAATGAAAAGTATTCCTGAAAAACCCATTATGTAACACTCTGATTTACATTATGTAAATCACATCTCCTGTGCACAGCCAGATAAACAATGTCACAATATAAAAATTTCACAATAGCATAATTTCTAAATAAAATATATCTGATCAAAGTTAAAAAACATACCTGTCAAGCAAAACTGTACTTGTATGCTAAAGCATTTACCATATAATCAGCAGAGAAACTGCTATATAATCTTATTATTATCATTCAAGTCATACCTGGGTAATAATTTTTTCCATCTCAGAGGTATTCATATCAGGTAGCGTGTTCTTAAGGAATTCAACAATGTTTTCAAAGTTTTCACACTCCATTATAAGAGTCTCTTGGCTACTCAAAAGGCTGAGTGCAACCTTGAATATCACTTCAGTTCCCTGAAGAAAAATAATATCTAAAAGAAGAGATGATAATTTCATGACTGAAATTATTCATTCACTATTATCAAAGGCATATTCTTTGTGCTAAAGGTATTCGTTTTATTATTTCAGCATAACCAGAGAATATTTTGCAAAAGAAAAGTGGTCAAAAACATCTAATTTTAAAAATAATAATAATATGGCTAAAACAGACAGATGTGTGACTATTCCCCTTACTTATTAGGAATCTCAGATAAAGCTAGGGGAACAGAGGAAAAATTATATATCTGTGTGTCTATGTGTTTTTTATAATTTTTAACAGCAAATTAATGAGACTAGACACTTTCAACTGATATTTAGATTTTTTTTCACAACAAAACATAAAAGCAAATCAACACAGCCAATTATTACTATTCAAGATCTTATAATAAAAAGTAAATGAGACAGTTAATATATAATTAAATCTATATTAGATAAAAAAAATTTAAAAACCTTAAAAGAAAAATCAAAACTAATAACAAAATTATAATCTAAATCAGAAAAGTTACCCTTACTCCAAATTCTGCTTCCTTGCAAATGCAAACATGCAATAGTTTTGAAAAACAGCAAATACATTTGTATGAATATATTTCTCAATATATGCCATTATTTTATCAATAATATACAACACAAAGTCTTTTTAAAAAGAAGGAACTGTGAACTGAACAGACACTTCACTGAAGAAGAAATACAACTGATCAACAAATATATGAAAAAGTATACAACATCTCTAGCAATTAGAGAAATGCAAATCAAAACTACACTAGGATTTCATCTCACTCCTGTCAGAATGGCAATCATCAAGAATACAGGCAACAATAAATGTTGGCGAGGATGTGGGGGGAAAGACACACTCATACATTGCTGGTGGGACTGCAAATTGGTGCAGCCACTATGGAAAGCAGTATGGAGATTCCTCAGAAAATTGGGAATGGAACCACCATTTGACCCAGCATAACCACTCCTTGGTTTATACCCAAAGGACTTAAAAACAGGATACTATAGTGACTCAGTCACATCAATGTTTATAGCAGCTCAATTCACAATAGCTAGACTATGGAACCAACCTAGATGTCCCTCAATCGATGAATGGATAAGAAAATGTGGTATATATACTCAATGGATATCACTCAGCTTTAAAAAAAGAGTAAAATTATAGAATTTGCCAGTAAATGGTTGGAGTTGGAGAATATCATGCTAAGTAAATAAGCCAATCCCACCAAACCAAAGGCTGAATGTTTTCTCTAATATGCAGATGCTAATTCACAATAAGGTCGGGGGGCACTAGGAAGAACAGCTTTACCTTAGATTAGGTAGAGGGAAGTGATGGGAAGGGAGGGGAGAGGATGTGGGGATAGGAAAGACAGTAGAATGAAACAGACATTATTACTGTATGTATATAGTGACTACATGGCCAATATGATTCTGCAACATGTACATTCAGAAAAATGAGACATTATATCCCATCTATGTATGATATGTCAAAGTGCATAAATGCATTCTAGTGTCATGTATAACTAATTAAAACAAATTTTTAAAAATTTTTTTAAAAGGAAGGAACTGTGAAAGAAAAAAATGTGGTCCCTCTTCTTGCTCACACATCTTTCCCTTCCTGACAGTCTCTATTTTCTACTAAATTCAAAGAAAAGAATTGAGCAACAATTGTCCAGCTGACAACTCCCATCAGGATCTCATAACAAGAAGCAAGACTACTGAGGACACTTGGTTCTTGAGCTCTGATGGCAAGCTTCCAAGGGCAAGTCGAAGAGATGGCCTGAAACACTATTTCAACTTGACATAGAAATACATATACAAAGGGATTTTATATATTTCTGAGAAATGCATACATAAAAGGATTTCTAAAGACCCATTAATAGGAACCCAAACTCCAGAGTACACTTCACTGGAGAAAAGCAACCATGTATGTTCAATAAACAAGAGAAATCTGGTGACTATCTGACTTAGTACAATCTGATTTCTCCCTCTCGCTAAACTCTGTCTATAGGTTGCATTCCCACTAACATAGTGCTTAACTTTTAAAACCATAGCCCCCTGCAAAGAAAGACACAAAGAATTATAATCTGGTATATGTATACACACTACACCTATGCCTTCAAAACCAAAGTTTCTCCAAATAGCATTTTCCCATGTTATTTGTAATATCCTGATAAATTTCAATGAATTCTATCTATTCTTCTTCTTTTTCCAAAATGATAGTAATGACCTACAATTGTATCAATACTCACAATTTGACAAAAAAGCTCCAATCTAGCAAAAGCACAGCCATGAACAAGTACTGACTACTTGATGATGGCTTCTAAACAGATGAACAGAACATAAAAATTGTGTAAGCCCTTTCTGAGGCTACCAAGATCCTAACAACATCATTAGAACAAACCTCTAGTGAATAGTTGTTTTATTTTTTGGCTTTTCATACAATAGATAAACCAAACTAAAGACCTGTGACTAGATTTAACGGCCCCCAAAGGGAGCATAAATCATGTCACACTGTCTCCCTCTCCCGCCTAGTGCTGAACACTATGATTGGAGAAAGACAAAGTTTCTCCAAACAATAGTGTAGCAATGTGCTATCCTGTATAACACATGATAAAATATTCAAGGCATCACATGGCTAGAAGGATATTACCTAGAATAAATAGCACTGTCTCGTTAGGTTGCAAGTATCTCTTACCAAAAACTCTGGCTACAAATCCTAATGGAAATTGAGAGGCAAAGAGTGTGAGAAACCAGGGAGCAGCATAAAGACTGGGGCTGATTTCATTTTCTTCAAGATGATTGTAGAGATCTCTGTGGTAGTCATGAAGGAGCCTGGACAGCTGGTACATTTGAATCTAAAGTTAATTTGGAGAAGAAAAATTAAATATTATGCATTTATCTGAGTGTACATTGGAATTTTAATACTTTAATATTTCATAACAATTCACATATATTCAATAAATAATAAAAATGAGTATGACTTTATTTTTTTCAATTTAAGTTGATATTCAAGTCCAAGTTCATGTTACTGAGGTTCATAAAACAAGTTACTATAAGTCCATATAAATGTCTTGAGCAAAGTCTTAGGGATCATTTACAAACATGGAATTGCTTATGTAATTTAATCATAACTGTTCTGGCTTTGAATTTCCATAGAAAGTCTTCTTATTTTGGGCCAGTTCCAAAAAAGCACCCATTTTAAGATATCTACGATGTTCAGTGTAGAAACAAAGAATTGCCTCTATTTGCTGGGCTCAGCATCTGATTTATGACATCCTGTGCTGCTGTGATACAGCAGAAGTTTAAAATGTCCTGGGGCCAGAAGCTTTAGGTGTTTCTTCTAATACCCAAATTATTTAAGCAACATATTTTTCATGAGATTAAAATAGTTAGTGCAGTTGTTTCTGAATGCTTCCAGAATTAAAAGAAATTATTTCATTTGGCCACCAAGTTGATTACTGGCATTTCAAGAACATTATGAAGACATCATATAAGAACTAAAAAAAAAAAAAGCTCTATGTCTATATTGCCAAAGTTACAGCAATAACAATATATTGTACTTTAATTTAAATTTCGATCCACAGAGTTAAAAAAATACTGAGATTTCTTGATCAGCTATAAAAGTTTAATATTTTGTGAAGGGTATGTAATATTTTATTAAATCTAGTAGAGTTTCTTTAGAAAAATTCTTCAAGTATCACCCTACATAGGTAGCTCTATGAAAATACAAATAACCAATTACACCATAAATTCAACAGTAGTTTCCCGAGTACAAAACTAAAAGTAAGGTGACTTATTTGGAAAAAAAAAAGTCATAAAATACTATATATAAATACAGCCAGTTATGTTTGACCCTTATGTTTCTCCTGATACACACTTATGATACACAATATAATTAATAATAATCTAGCTATTTAAGTTGCATAATTAGGTTGTTAACTATCTGTGAATTACTTGGTCTGATATAAGCTTATAAAGGGAAAAAGTATTTGTTACTTATATTAACATTATTGGTTCTATAAACATATAGATTTGTTCAGTGGGGAAATAGGAAGTTTTAATTAGGTGACTGACATTAACATTGATATATCTTTGAAAATTAAGTTTCCACACAAGCTGTCAAAGGAAGAAACACAGTGTGACAAAATATAGACATTTAAAGTTGAAAAAGGACCTCAACCTCTCATTTTACAGATAAGATAACTGAAACAGAAAGCCAGGAGTGTCCCAGCACACCAACAGTGAAGAAAGAAATCAGAAATCCTGTTAACAGAATACTGACCCACTGCGGCAGGCATTTATGCATACTTGTGAAAGTCTTGATTGGACCAAAACCACTCACTTCCTGCTCTAGAAAGTGAAAAAGTGCTACATCCCACTTTATAAAGCATAAAGGTCTACTCTCCTGAGGTCCCTGATTTTGTAGCCTAGGATGCTGCCATCAATGATTTTTTTTTTTGATTGGGGAAGAGTGGATACCAGGGATTGAACATAGGGGCACTTAACCCTTGGGCCATATTCCCAACCCTTTTCTAAGTTTTTATTTTGAGACAGGGTCTCACTAAGTTGCTGAGGCTGGCTTTGAACTTGGGATCCTTCTGCCTCAGTCTCCCAAGTCGCTGGGATTACAGGTGTGAGCCACAGTGCCTGGCTATCATCAAAGATTTTTAAACATCTACAATTTCAAAATTAGAGACATAAAATATTTCTTGGTAACTATATGCTTTATTAAGTTAATGTATAAATCCTATGTACATGGACGTTTGTCATGTCAAATTGATGAATGTGTGTGTGTGTGTTTCTGGGAATTGAACCCAGGGTCCTATGCATGGTAGGCAAGCACTCTACCATTGAGATAGACCACTGAGATACATCTCCAGCTCAATGAGGAATTTTTAAATGGAAAAATCATTGTATTTTAAAACCAACAGCCATGTTTCCATCTCTGGACCAAAATCAAACACTACTCACAGGTACCTTCCATTCTTTGGAATTCTAATGATAGCTACCAAACTGCTGTCTCTGAAAATCAGAGCTATTTAATTCCTCACAATGATGTCAATGCATCCCATCCAAAATAACATTTATTTTCAAAATAAAGTAAAAAATAAAATACTGCATAGTCATTATTAAACAGACCTATGAATAGTCTTCAACCAGGAATCAAATCACGGTAATTATGTATCCTGGTGAGCACTCCCCATAGGCAGTGTTAAGTAATTGGGTACTTAGCAAAATCCCAAATCCCACACTCTTAAGACAATGGGACCAAACTTGTTTAAATCTGAACTGTAATTTAGAAGACCAAGATTTCTGGTGACAGCCTCCTGCCTCCTGCACTCCTTGTGAAGAACCACAGCCTCACCTGTAGCGACATCATGTCAGGTCTGTACTGCTTGCGGAAGCCTAGGTCATACATGAGGAACTTCAGCATCTCAAAGGCTTGCTCTTCACTCATGTGCAGAAGCAGGACTCCAGCCACAAAGCTGATCCCCTGACAGTAGCCCACTTCACTGTCCAGCAAAGAGTAGGCCTTTAGGAGGTTAAAGAGTGACAGCTGCCCGGCCCCAAGCTGTACAGAAAAGTAGGGGTGAGTAGGAAATGTCCTTCCTGCAAAGAAAGAGAATACCTCTTAGAGGAAACCAGAGTGCAAATGCAAATTGGTGAACTTCAGGAACAAATGAGCACCCTCCCAAACTGGTGACAGCCGCTTGGAATTTTCATCTCATAATTTCTCTCTTTGTTTCAAGCCCCAAGTTGTACCTGCCAGGCTCCCATCCCACCTCCACATATATGGTACAGGGGCAAACATTTTATACTAACCAGCATTCCTTCCACCAAACAACAGGATACAATGAAATCCCCAAACAAACAACATATCCAGGAGAGATTGCCAGAGAATGGAACTCAAAATGTATTCTGACTATGAATCAGGACAAATTCTAAATTCACATAAAAACCACCCTCTAACTAAAGTCAGAACTTATATAAGAAGGATCATATTATTGGAAAGGAAATTCTACAACTGGAAGATTAGCCCAGTGACAGAGTGCTTGCCTAGCATATACAAGAGGCTTTGGTTCAATCCCCAAGCACCAAGGGAGAGAAAAATAAATTTTAAAATTTTAGTAGTCATAAACAGATTTATTGCTGCTTTTCTTATAATTTTAATATTGGAAGGGCTTTGTGGTTTTGTTTCACTTTATATTCAGTTTGTCATTTGGGAAATATTTCTTTTTAAAATATCCTTTGTTCTGTGTTTCTTAAAATGCCTTCATGAACCATGTAGATCCCTTTTCTTTTTTCACTATCTCCAAAAAAGATACACACACACGGTGTGTATACACATATATGGCTATATCCATATCTATGTTTCATATATATATATATATATATTTATATCTGAGGAGGACAAGGAGCATAAAGGGTAGAGCTGATTTCAAATAAATTCCCTCCAAATTTACCTCTGGGTAAAAATTAGCACAGAAACACCAGTTAGCAAACAAACACAGTCCTATGTCACTAAAGAGCTGGTGCCAGGTACTAAAACAGATCCATCTTCTCTACCAAAACTGTACATGCTGCTTTGGGACTTGTCTTATGCCACAAAAATGAAGGGGCTGTAACTAGCTTCCTTGTGAAATTATTACTCAAGTCAGTTAGAATTTGCAAGAATGTCAGATTTTTTACATGTTTTCTACTACATATGCTTAAAAGTGATTTTTTTTTTCCAGGAACTGATAAGATTAATTCTGCAGAGTAAGGAGAAGAAATGAGAAAATAACAAAAATATGCTGCAGAAACACAGATGGCTACAAGTAGAGCGAAATAAGCAATTTTTCAAATTATCATTTTACTCTCTCACTTAACATTTTTGCAAACAAAAACTAAAAATACACTATCCAAGAAGCTGAGTCCAGCTCCATATTTGTCAGCCTTTCCTTGTTACCTGATCTCATCTCCCTCTTTGCTAGCAAATCTTGACTAACCCTGATTGCAACACCTCAATCCTATTTCTCACCACCAACATATCGTCCCGGAACTACAGCTCTGCAAGGGATCCCAGGGATTGCCTAGTTCATGCCCCCATTTAACAAGAGCAAATTGCAACTCAGGAGCAAAGCAATCTAGGACCACAGTTAGTGGTAGAATCAAAACAAGAACTCAAGTTTTTAGTGTTTCTATAAAATTTCCATTTTAATTCTACTGGGCTCAAAAAGTATTTAATTAAGCTGGGCCCTTCCCCAAGAAAAGCTGTTTGTCACCCAAAAGGAACAGAGGTAAAAACTAGATTTTAGCCAGTGATTTTTTTTTTATATGCCCTAATATGAAATGACCCCAAATATAAGGTAATCCCCTGTTTACCTCATGAGCTCAACTAACATTTCTGGCCAATGGCAATAATCACCTTTTAGGAGTACAGATGAAATAGTCAAACACCAATGGACAATATTTAGATATTTTTAAATAAAATACACAAAACATGTTAATTTAGGGAAAGGAGAGACAATATGATATTTTATATCATTGGATTTTATTTTTCATAAATTATTTGAAATTCAGCATTAAAAAGATTGCTTTATGATGCTGTCACTGGAAATCCTCCCTCAGGTCATAAGTACCCATTCTTTCATTAGTAACTTAATTTTTCATCCATCTGAGAGGTAGGTATCCATGATGCCTACAGCATAACCATTTATTGTATTGATATTTTTTGTCCCTGGGATGTGGACAGTGGCTCCTTCCATCTTCTTTATAAAGAAACAGGCTGGGCCTATTTTTCTGCCCTCTGAGCTGTCCACTTGCGGTCTTATCAAATGCCATCCAATCACTCCTGAGGTTATAGACAGGCAACCCCTGTATTGTTTGTTTTTTGAAGTGCTGGGGCTTGAATCAAGGGCTTGAATCAATCCCAGGAGCATACTGGGCAAGTGCTATATACTCTGACTCACATCCCCAGTCCTCTATATTACTTTTTAAAGTGATAACTACAGGCTGGCTTTCAGCCATAGGTCGAGGGTACAACTTTGCTAAATTTTTTTGGTCCTCTTTTAACCTATTTTGAAACCAGCACTGATTAAGATATAATTGTCTATCCTAAAAGTCAGTTATTCAAAACACAGAGACCACTCTTTATAGTACCTTTTTCAGAGGGCAAGTTTTGGGATGAAAACTTCATTTTAGACTCAGGCATTTATGGTGTCTTCCATCAGATTTAAGGCTAACTTACCCCAGAGAGGAAGGTCTGCAGTTCTGCTGATACCAAAAAACAAATAAAGCCCCAAACCGGCTCTCTTTTGTTAATTACAATCAACATGATGCACATACCCAAATCCACAAGGATAGCATGCTGCTGGGCGGTGAGCCGCTTCAGAAGTTCTTTATAGGATGTGTCTGGGGGTTGGTGCTTGTTAGGCAACCTGTGTCTCAGGCGATACTGCAAAGCCAGGAACTGCCAAATTTCACCTCGTCGACTTTTGGGAACTCCTACAATCACAGAGATATTAAAAAAAAAAATAAAAATGAAAAAGGTCAGGCTTTTAACTCTGAAATCAAGTTGCTAACTTGCAGTCAAAGAACTATTTAATTCTTGAAAATAGGCAGCTGGACTGGATTGCTTATCAACCCAGGTCACAGTTACATGGTATAATGTACTGCCTGAACCACTGTTTGACAAGTGTTATCCTATAGCTCCTGATGTCTCATGAACGAAAGTCTTCAAATAACAACCAGGGCCACGATGACAATCATTGGGCAACACTGAGCACCTAATTAAAGATTCTACTGAGGGTGTTAGCCACCAAGTCTCATATGTACACTCAGAGAACAACCCTAAGAAGTAGGTAACCACTATTATTCCCACTTTACACCCAGAAATGCTGAGGTGGGAGATTATGCAATTTGCCTGAGTTCCCACAGCTAATAAGGGATGGCACAGAATCAGCACTCTGAAAGTCTGGCTTCAACAGCCAAATTCTGAAATCCAAAAATGTATTACTGCCTATTTCTACTTTTTATGTAGCTCAAAGACAGCCACAGACGTTAATCCTCATATTACAATTTTTCTATTTTTCATCCACAAGTAACTTTGCAAAAAAGAATTAAATATCATGGTATGTAATCATAAAATAATAAAAAATAGTAAACACAAGATGAGGGCATCCCGAGGCAACCAAGAATGTCACTCAGCCTTCGATAAAAAAATACTGAGTACATATAATGAAACTTTGACTCATTCATGCCTGAAAACCAAAGGGTATCACAAGCAGTTCAAAGAATGCTACAACTATGTTTTTGTTTCACATGAAGTAAGTATGGGAGGGACAGGATTCAGTTCTGTACAGGGAAGCCAACTTTTTATTTCCCACATCGAGAGTTTTTATTTCAAATAGAATAATCTGAATGGGCCCCTGAGCTCCAGCTGGTTAAGGGAAGGTTTGACAGCAGCAATCTCCTCTGACTGCAAGGCAGTGTTTGCAAAAGCTGAAAGCATTGCCGCCCAGAGGGTGCTGCCGACCTGCTTTAAGAGGCCCTCCACAGGCTCCAAGCTCTCCTTTTTAGCCCCATTTAGCCCCATTCCCTGACAAACACTAGAAGTTTGTGGTTATTTTCACTTTCCCAATTTCTAGCTCCTGCTATTGCCTTTATGGAATTTTAAGCTAGTGCACGCGCTCGTTTTCTCTCTCTCTCTCTCTCGATGGCCTCAACTATTTCTGTTCTTCTTTATAAATGATCCTGAATATCACTTTTTCCGTTGAAGCCCTCCCTAACATCTCTAAGCCACATAGTCATTTCCTTTTCACACACCATTCATACTGCAACACTGCCATATTGAATTACAGTTAGCTTTATACTGTATATTTGTATACTTCCCAACATTGATGGTGAACTCCTTGGGAATGGAAATATACTTTCATCTTATATTCTTGGACCTTGTTACTGACATATTTGGGAATGAATGAATGACAGCATATAACATGTCAATCTTAGAGGGTGACTTTCATTATCCCACTAAATCAATCACTAGTAGTTCTTGGTTGCTGGCTGTTTTAACTACCCATATAACAAAAAAATTACCAAAAAAAAACCTTACACACTTTGGCTAAACAGCATCCAGTATGTAATGGAGTATAGAGCGTGGCCTTGAGGATACCTTATCACCCTGAGAAATGAATAAACCCATTCTCAGGAAAATTAGTCTCATCCACCCATCCATTCAGTAAATAACTTGTGAAAAATACTGTTTGGGTGCTATGTGGGTAGTGACAGGGTAAGAAAAACAATAAACACACACACACACACACACAAAAAAAAAAAACATTACAAACTATGGTATATACACTGATCATGAGAAAGAATAATAAATCAAAACTACTATATTTTGGAGGTAAGGCAAGGATGGTGCTCTGAGGAAATGATATTTGAGGCCTGAGGGGAGAACAGGATTCTGCTAGGAGTATGGGCAGCTATCACTTCAGGAAGAGATGTGAAGGACCTGAGAGGGGCAGAGGAAAGAAGAGAGAATGGATAAAATGGAGATGGGAAGAGGGGAGAAGGAAGAGAGATAAGGAAGATCTAGTCTGGGGAGGACTGAAACATTCCACACAAGGACTAGCTTGGGACATACCATCACCCAAAGTAGTTCTACCTCTCTGAGGGACTTATGATTAGAAGGCAGGGAGAGGCGAAGAATGAGACTGGAGAAATGGAGGAAAGAGTTTATGAAGGCTTTGGGTACAGTTTCAACTACATCTATAAGGAATTCAAAGATGAGCACTCCTAAACATGCTTATTTTATTTATTCTTGCAGTGCTGGGGACTGAACCCAGGGTCTTATATAAACTAGGCAAGTGCTTTACCTATACCCCCGCCCATTTAAAAACATCTTTAGAAGTCATACCAAAGAAGGGTGAGATCTGTAGTGCACACCCATTCATTAACCACTATTTTTCTCTCCCTAATAATGCAGTCAATGAAAATCTTTGGAATTTACAAATCTTCAAGAAAAAAGAACAGCATATTAGACTTGTAAGTATAGGATCTTATAAAGTAAATCTTACCTTAATCTAAACTATGTTTTACACATTATTATATGCTTTTACAACAAGGAGCTGGGGAGGTAGCTCAGGGGTATAGTGCTCAAGGCCCTGGGTTCAATTCCCAATACTAAACAAAATTTTAGAGAGAAAAAAGAAAATAAGATTGATCTGTCAGATTTTTATTTTACACTCATATTGTGCAAGTCATGGAAATTCTCATTTTAGTATATTTAATGTGAGTCATAGAAATTGTACCTAAAATATTCAAACATTAGTTTTCATTTTAAACTTAAAATGTTTTCTATAATCCCGGTGACCTGGGAGGCTGAGGCAGAAGGGTCACAAGTTCAAGGCCAGCCCTGGCAGTATAGCAAGACCCAGTCTCAAAACAAAAAATAAAAAGGACTGGGAATGTGGCTCAGTGGTAAAGCACTCCTGGGTTCAATCCCTAGAAATTAATTAATTAATTTAAAATGTTTATCGGGCAACAATAAATGCAATGGCTTTAAACAAGCAATTTCTCTAAAATAAATGAAGGAATAAATGGAGAGGGAAACTTGGTTAATTCATCAGAATATAAATCTTACCTATAAATTCAGATATTGTGAGTGTATCTACACCTTCATATAAGTATACACATATATGTAAACAAATACTTCTGACCAAATTGTGGAAATGAGCCCAGTTTGTAAATCTGAACTAGTTTTCTGGCAGTGATCAAAGATTTGTACCAAGGCATGTGCTTCTTCTTTGGCAAATAATAAAAGCTAAAAAGAGCTGGCTGACACAGTAAAGCCAGCAGAAGAGAATCCTGCTGCCTCCTTGGGACAGGACCTCCATCAGCACCATTTTCTTACCAATCACGTCACCAAGTTGCAGGCAGAAGCACATTACTTTCCTTTTTTATAAGCTAAACACAAAGACAAAATTATTACTGAGATGCACAACTTGTTAAAAAAAAAAATCTGAGGCTTTTCTTTAAAAAGATTCCAGAGATTATCCCAAGTACCTTCTCTTAGAGAAGTGTGAATATCTTCCATGTCACATCTGATCTTAGCTCTGCAGTTTAACAGCTTCTTATCCCAGGTTATTAAGACCTCCTTCTGACATGCACCAACTTCCTCATAGTCTAACTTGACTTTTCTGGACTGAAGTTCATCTCTTCTTGCTAAAAAAGAAAAAGGATTTATTAAGATCAGTGTGTCTTAGAATAACCGTTTTAAAATACTGCATTAGTAAAAACATATCAATGACTTTTAGGAATCCATGACCAATATTTACTCAAAGAATAAAATTGAGGATAATATTAAAAGTTCTCAAACTTTCAGTCATTTCCATGAAAAAATACAAGCAAAAACTTTTTAAGAAGATATTACTCTGTCTTATACTGTAACCCAACTAAGCACAAAACTCAAGCACTATAGCCAACATGCTTTGATAGCCAATATGCTTGAGTATTGTGCTTAGTGGGGTTACAGTATAAATTTTAACTTCTTGACAAATGGGGTTGTCTCAGCAGTGACAGCTCACATTGTCTTAAACACCATTAAAGTGTTAATGTTTCAGATGACAAATGAAAAGACAAGAGAGACAAGACATATGAGAAGACATGACCTCATGCTAACTTGTAAAATATTTGACCATCCCAACCTCATAAGTTTCTATAACTACTTTCGAACTTATTCACATATCTCTTAAGAATAGTAGGTTCCTGTGTTCATTTTTAATAATATTTTTCTGGTTTTGGTGCTAAGGATTGAACTCAGAACCTCATGTATATGCACGTACCTCTGAGCTACATTCCATAGCCTCCATTTTTAATAATCTTAAAAAGGAAAACCCACTTCACTGAAGTTAACACTAATTCCACTTTTTAACTAATACAGAATTATCTCGCATTTGTTGATGTAAAAGATGGGCCCAGAGCTCACTAAAAAAAAAAAAAAAGTCCACAAAATCTATCACTATCTTGACTCATCTTGATCTTGAATAATAGATTGCAAAGGGGAGAAGGAAAGAGACACAGATGAGGGTCTTTACCCTTTCATTGGGGTCCCATGGCCAGGAATCTATCGGAGTGCCCCCTGCCCTTACCTTCTGCAACACAAATCTTTGTCATGCATCCAAAGTCCTCGACAGCACAAAAACAACAGAACGAATGTTACTCTTTACTTAGTGTCTTTGAAACCATTTTCAAAGAATCAAAATGTCTTAAAACAGGCTGCTCTTCAACCAGGACAGTAAAAATCCCTGATTAAATGTTTAGATGGAAAAAAGATATATCATGCTACAAAAATATCCCCCCCTGGCTACCACTAGATGGCTGTCTAACACAGTTTAGCTTTGCCTCTCATTTTCTATTTCCTTAACCAATACCTATTAACACTAATACCATCCTACATATAGTTTCACTAATGACTTGCTTCACAGTGAACAAAGTGTAACATTCCCTTAGATATTTTTCTCGAACTTTCTTTAGTGTGTTTAAAATAATCACCTATTATTCAGTAGGCCCTAAGGATAAAACGGCAAGATCAGTTAATATCTATCTCCCTACAACTGGTTCACTAGGCAGGAATACAAAACCACCAAGAAATGATTATCAACTGGCTCAAATTTTAATAAACTATATTTATGTCTTTGTTACTTAAGTAAAGAAGTATACGCAGTACTGATAAAGGTTTCTGGTAAGATATTCTAAAATCGCCTCTCCTACCCTCAAAACTATATAGTATAACTGACCTCAAAACATACTTGTGGTCATTTATATTAAAACATTCTATTTCTTTGTATGAGCACATATAGCTAAGCAATACTGTAGCATATTCAGAAAAACCCAAGAGCCACGAGCCCCAGAACTTGTTCTGCTGGTTTATGTGATTATGTGACTTTGGGTTAATTCCTTAGCCTCCCCAAGCTTGTCACTAACTCGGCTACAGAAGGAAGAACCTAGCTAAACAATCCCTAAGGCCCTGCTCCCTCAAATAGTCTATGATTGTAAAACCATCCTTTGACATTTATTATAAGATTGTACTTGTACCTAAGTCCCAACTGAAGTAAAATTTCATGTTTTAAATGTTTTAAGGAAATGGTAACCCTCTTTTTGTCAACATATTTTTCTGTTTATGATTTAATTCAAGATGTAACCAACTGCTTAAAAATATGAATGCAGTTCCTGCAGAAATCTTTGAGAAGCTTGAGTTCATATACAATTTATCAAACAGAACTTTTAAAAGCTGTGTCAATAACAATTAATTGAATTATTAATTTAAAAAGAAGATTTATTTCCTAAGGATATTTAGCATTTTATGTATTTTATCTGCTAAGAAAATAGCAACAAAAAAGAAAAAAGAAACTATGCCTTTGTAAACAAAATATTATTAAAATAAAAAAATGAACAATAGGTGTACTAACAAGAATCTTAACACAGATAATGAATTCAGAAATGTGAAAATCTGCATTAAAAAAAAAACTTTGGAAGACAACACAATAAAAGTGAGAGAAAAACCTGTATTGTTCATTTGACAATAATCGTAAGAGTCAGAGGGTCTCTTTAGCCTAAATTGTTCATTATAAGATATAAAACCAAGGGCCTTCTCAGAAGCAATTTGCCCAAGATAATGATATTTATATACCTTTTGCATTTTTGTACTATCTGGACATCTTATTGTGTGATTATATCAGAACAGAAACAAACTGAATCATTTTTGGAAGAAGCTGAAAAACACATTCTAAAGCATTTAGTGTTCAAAAACCCAACAATCCAGTACTACAAATAAAACAATAGTTATTATAAATTATTTGGCTGTAAATTTAACAATTTGACTATGATTTCTTAAAAAGAAAATTTATAAAGCATTAACAAAAAATAGGAACTCTGATTTTATAAGAGGTAATTATAATTAAACAGTTAAAATAGATATAACAGAAAAATAACTTATTTGAAACAAGAATGTTTCACTCATTATAAATATCATTTAGCCTGCAAGTTGAAAATTATATTTAAAAAATAAAGTATACTGTTTCCTATTTAAAGTTTTTTTTTGAGTAATGCACAATGATATTAAGTTTTCAGTCATGTAAAATACATTGAATCCCTGTTACCTATAATCTTTATTCCCATAGTCTTTATTCCCATAGTCATATATTCCCATAGTCTTCTGATGTTTCAACTCTATCAAACAAAAATGCAAATATCTTTAGCTGATCTTTCCCAAGTCTCATGAAAATAATTAGAATCAATAGATATTTACAGCCCAAGAAAAAGTGTGAGGGTGTAACATTTGCCCTGTTTGAATAGCTAACCTTCAAGTTTCTGGTTTTCTTTTTCCATTCGAAGCAACAAGATTTGTTGGTGTATAGCTTTTTTCCATAAACTCTTTAGTTCTTTCGATTTCTTTTTTTCTTCGACCTTCTCTGGGTCATCATCACCAGATAAGAATATAACCAGCGGTTCCTCTTCCATGGTGGGAGTGAGAGGGGATAGTGGCAGCAGCTCATTCCTGTCCAGTCCATCTGCAGAGAAGAAAACAGTGAGCGGCATTCCTTAGTAGTAGCTCAGACTACAGAAGCTTCCTTTAGAGTAACACTCTCTCATCTTAATCTTCCACATTTAAAGGTGTTCACAGACCACTTTCCCAAGAACTACTGTTTCTGGAACTAGCAATTTAAGTAAATTTACCAGGCTGAATTCCCCTTCCAGATTTCCCTCTGACAATGAAACAAAGGCATATGTCATTTCACCACTTCTTCTTTTTACACAAAAAGACCTGTAAGGGAGTCGCTCCAAAATGAATTGGCCTTTCCCCAGAGTCCAACACTTCTGCAATTTACCTACTTATATTCTCTGGTGCAAAACAGGAATGGGTGGTAGGTAATGGAGATCTCCTAAGGTCCATGCCTCCTGTTAAGAGTCCTCCAGGAGAGTAACAGCTGAGCAATGCTCTGTCCTTCTTGGCTGAGCATCTCACAGGGCCTGCTGCTCCCTCCCCCTGCAAAGTCTCCTTAACTGATCCCCTGCAGCTCATTCTCTCCTTCCATTCTGGCCCATTCCCTGCATACTGCCAATTATTTTCCTATTAACAAACACAATCATATCTCTTAAAACATCTCGATGACTGCATCAGAGAGACCAAGTGCAGACTACTGGGAATAATATAAATCTCGCCAGACTCTGGCCTCAAATCACCTTTCCAGCCTCATGTCTGAAGCTCCTGTCCTCTGCCCCATCATGCAAAGTTTCTCACAACTCTCTGACCTGCAACGTCTTCTCACACAATTCTAGAACTTTGCTAAGACAAGTTTCTTCCAGGGATGAGTTTAAATATTCAGTTTTTCTGTGAAGCTGTCTCTGCCCATCCTAGGCAGAGTTAATTTTATCTTTAGCAATGCCAACTGATTTCTTCTTTTTCTCATTGTAATTCACTGATCTCTGCCCCTACTTATATTATTTACTTCCTCGGGTTTTGGTTGTTCATAGATTTTACTTTTAATTCTTTTCCAGCTTCTTGAGTGTAATACCCAGTACATGTGACTTTTGGATTTCTTGATTTTAGATGAACACATTCACGGTTGTGAATTACCCTCAAAATACTGAATGCAGAGCACAGGTTATCATATTTTATTCCTTCTACATTCTACGAGTATAGTTTCCAAACACATAAAAATTTTCAGTTGTCCTTCTTTTCTTTGCAGTCCTGGGTATTGAACTCAAGACCTCTCACATGGTAGGCAGTGATTTACCATAGGGCCACATCCATAACCCTAGCTGTCTTTAATTCATTCTTTCATGCTTGTTTCCTTCCTTCGTTTCTTTTTATTTTGGCACTATGGTCAGAGAATATAATACACATAATCATGATTGTCTGGGATTTATTAAAATATCTTTTGGCCAAGTACATAATCCATTTTTATGAATGTGTCACATGTGGCTAAAAATGGATAAATTTTCTCTACAGAGGCAAAGTTCTATATAAATATTAGATCAAGCTTGTTCAATTGTACCACTCCAATACTATCTATATTTAATTTTCAAAGGGAAATATATTAAAATCTCTCATGAGAGCAGTTGATTTATTTATTCTCAAATTCTTTTAAGTATCATTTTCTAGCTCCTAAGGCTATATAATAATTCATGTTCTCAGTATTGTTTCCCTTTTCATTTATGCTACATTTACTTTGTCCCTCTGGATGTTTTTGCTTTAATTTCTAAAGGGTCTAATATTCGAAGAAAGCTGCTATGCTCTCTTAATTGATATTTGCCTAGTGTGATATTTCCAATTTTTACTGTTCATTTCTCTGTCATTTTATTTTATGCATGACTCTCATAAAAGACTGTATTCTGTATTGCTTTTCTAATAATTAAAAAAAAGAAGAAATCTACAACTTCTTCTGCAGCACTAGTTCCCTGCACATTGTGGAGTAGATTCCAAAGCAGGTTTTGGCAACCCACACGCTCATTCATTCAAAAACAAGTACCGATAAAATAGACATTAGTATTGCTGTATGTATAAACGTGACTGTATAACCAATGTGATTCTTCAACCTGTACACTCAGAAAAATGAGAAATTATACCCCATTTGATTCAAATGTATGATATGGCAAGATCATTGTACTGTCATGTGCAACTAATAAAAATAAAAAAAAAACAAGTACCTAAAGTCTAATGGGTTGTGATGATACCTATCTATCAGATACAGAAGAGAAGTTATGTCTCCACTCGAATCTCTTACATCTTTTTATACACAAACCACTTCCACTGCCTTCCCAAATTCACAGCACTCACAGGGAGAAACTCCTCAGCAATTACACACACACCTTGTTGCTGCATTGCAGAGGGAGATTTGTTCATGGGCGATGCAACGCGAAGGAAAATGCGCTGCCGCCAGGAGATCCTGCGAGGAGTGACAGGGGTTCCTCCAGTATTTAGGGACTCGTTGCTGCAGGTGGATGAGGTCCTTTTCCTCCCTTCTCCATCACTGTGGAATGCCAATAAATATAAAATTTGTAAAGCCGCATAACATGGTACTTCGCAATGAAATGGTAGCACAAGCCATTCACAAGTTCTGCCACAGGCAAGCACGAGGCACAGGCACCATGGAGCAACGTGGCATGAGCACATTGGTCACCCAGGCCAGCGCATCCTGGGAAAATTGCAATCCAGGACATAGCTGGGTCATGAAAAGCTCACCTGTTTCTACTCATTCCTCAGTAGCCAACCAGTCCTGCCTCTAATTTGAGCAACAGAAGCACTTACACAGGGCAGTAAAGGTTGCTTAAGTAATGAAGTCTTGCTTTGTCAAAGAAATAAAACCCATAGCTTATTCTAAACAATCTAGATATTTAATAAGATGCTCTGAGAAAGCTTTTGCTATAGCTCCTACAGAATTAAGATCTACAAATTGTTAGCTACCGATGGTTGGATCATGGCAGAAAAGAACCCAAATACAGAAGAATGGGAAATGCTGGCTGGTATAGTAAGAAAAAAATATATATGGTCAAATAATTTTAAATAGGCTAAGTTTTTTTAAAAAATATATTAACCAGATTTCTTTACAGCAGGACTCCTTTAAGACTGGCATGAATTGTGACTCTCAATCAGGGAACAGTATACAGAAATTCTACTGTCAAAAGTCCTCCAGGAGGCCTCTGGAGTTCAAGTAATTGACTCTTATTCACCACTCCCAACTTTTCTTCTTCTTCATCTGGGGGAAGATCTCACATTATTCTATGTCAGTGCTTTGTGAAACTCCCATGTGGAAATACTGGTCTGCTCTAAGTATTTCATTTTTTAAGAAAGTTCACTCTGGGTTATATGAGGTCTATCTGCAATAAAAGGTCATAATGACTCGAAGTTACTTTTGAGACCAACTGTATAACTAAAAGACCACACAATCATTGTTGCTGTTCATGGTAGGAATATTTTATTTGTCTATAGTTTCATAGTCTTTAAGTTCTCCTATGAGAATGATGAAGATAACATTTATAAAACGGTGATACCCACAAATGAAAGCTATGGGACTTTGGGTATAATCAAGAAGTTCAGAACTTAGGACAGAAATGAAACCCAGCTAGAAAAGCCACAGCCTCTCAGACACTTAGAGGAACTCAACAATGCTGATGCAATTAATACAATTCTGTTCCTTCCTGTTATATTTTTATTCACTCTGTGTATCCATACTTACAGTTATCAGGCAGTTCAGTTATTTCCAATCTGGGATCTATCTTCCTAAAATATTACTTTAGCTAAACTAAGAGTAAGAAAAGGACATACCTCTGAGCTGATATGCAGATATCAAGTGTCATATTGTGTTATGCTATTTGAGGAAGTAGCTGAGACATACATGTCAATATAGTCACATGTTATGTATCCTACATAAAATTGTAACCCTATTAGGTGTCAAAGGTTCAAAACTCCCTACAATACTGAATAAATAGATTCATCTTTATTTCTCCTTTGGAAAGCAGTCATTCAAATATTACTTTCTCTGTGATTCAAATGTTCTCTATATAATGTGTACATCTTGATAATACTCTCAGAGTAGTCTGTACCTTAACATTTGTAACAGTATCTCACCTGAATTATTTGCTAACTACCCAGTTCAGGAGTAAATTGCTAGCTCCCACTGTAATAAATAGTAAGCACTAAAGAAATAACCCTTGAATAAATTAATGCTTTATATAACCATATGAAATATTAGCTTAGAAGCTTAAGTAAAATGGAGGAAAAAAATATGGCTGAGGTCTACCTTCTTAATTGATTAGTAGGCATGAGTTTAAATCTTTCTGGCAGAAAGTTCTGGTAGCTGTTTCCCAAAAGTACAGACTGAGCTGTTGATGGCACTGGTAGAGTACATAATGACAAGATTGTTAATCAACAACAAAAAGCACCTTTTTTTCCTAGCAAGTGTAGTTCCTTCCCTATAGGAGGGCTTCAAATTTACAATTTATGCTTTGAAATCTAAATGAAATACTTCTATTAAAGTACCTACTTCAATGCCTCAAAGGGTAAATGTTCTTTCTACAAGTATTCATTTCTCCTGATTTTCTGGTAGCGCTAATAAACGAAATCAGAATAAACCAAATGAAAGAATTCTAAATGTTCATATTTTTATGCTGAAACTAAAACATCATTTTTGAAAAAAATTCACTGTTATGATATAGTAAGTGTTTAGAAAGTACTACTAATCAAAGTGAGTGGTACCCATATCAGTTTCATTACTACCTGCAAAATTCAAGCTTTGGGGGGGAATATGTTATAAACTAGTTGCAGAAATTACCCTGACATTAATCTACTCCTGCATATTTAAAAATTGTATTATTTCTAAATTTTTAAGCCCTATAATTGAATAAACTATTAAGTGAAAAACTCTCTACCCAGGTCTGGAATTTAACAACCAGTAATAGACAAAAATTAGTAGACAAAATAAAAGATAATAATATACCAAAAAGGGGAACTTAACATAACACATCATTGATCCTTTATCTTGTACTAAAAAACTACATCCTCAAAAAGTAGTGTGGTTGCCCAGATATGTGAGAGCTAATCTGCTTCATTTCATAAGAGGAGACATGTATGAGAAAATCAGGTTCCAGATAAGGTTTCAGCCAGTAGTGCTCATGTGCAGCTAACAGCTGCTCACTGATGTAGCTGACAATCTGACACTCTTAAGGTGGCAATTTCAAGAATCAAAACCATATGAAACACTGTGCATTGAAATTCGTATGTCTCGACTTGGAAACTGCACTGGGAGGTGACATTTCTTTTTATTTTTCGTTTTGGCTACAACATTCCTTTTCACTTTAACTTCTTTAATTAAACTTAGCATGGAAGTCAAGTAGAATGTCTACTTTCTGAGTTAAAAAAAAAAGAAGATAACATTGTGTCTATTGTCATAATAATAGTGGTAATTAAGACTCACACAAAGCTCATGCTACACAGCAGTCATCTTACAAGTATGAAATAATTTTGTCCTCACAGCAACCATCTATGGCAGTGTTATTACTCTTCCCATTTTTGGTAAGAAACCTTAGGTAGAAAGCATCGAAGTAACTTGCCCATAGTCACTCAGATGACAAACAATGGAGCCAGGACTCAAAGCCAGGCAATCCAGAATCCAACATAGAGGCACTATGCTTTATCATGCCAGTGTAAATACTCTGCATTAGTTCCTGCAAAACTCTATAGGACATAAAAACAAAGCTGTCAGGACCCCCAAAATTCTCTGTATTTTGGATGGAAAAAAAATTAAGTCTCTAGTCAGAAGTAAGTCTCTTGGTTGGGTAATTTTCTTTCTACTTTTGAATGGAATGATCTATTTCAGCAGAGAACTAACTTCAAAACACTAAAAGGTGCTTTATTTGTGTAAATGCCTCACTTCAGTTTCTCTGAAATAAGTGCAATTCATAATGAATATTCTTGTTGATTTTAAACAAAACAGCTTAATATAGTATAAAATACATATGTTGCTACTTTATTATCTTTACATTTTTAAAGTCATGAAACAAATTATAGACATTCCCTTATTTTCCCAAATAATCTTTGCCACCTTCATCTGTGTTTTAGAATGTAAACATGTACATTATTAAGTTGCTTCCCCCCCCAAAAAAAAAACATATTCAGGAAGAGTCTTCTGTGCCAGTATTTCCTCTAGCAGAAATTTATGAAATAAAAAATGAGTAGCTAGGAAGGAAGTACAACTTGGAGAATTCTTGTCCAGTTCTGTGTTGGTGTATTCAATATGTACTTCCTACTACTATTTGCCAATTAACTGAGAACCACAATCCATGGATACAAATGCGGGCTTTACAAGGGGAGAAAATAAGCCACATTATATGTTATAATCATGTAGGCTGAGAGGGGCATTTTGCATCTATCAAAAGTTATGGATAAGGTTGGGGTTGTGTGTAGCTCAGTGGTTGAGCACTTGGCTAGTATGCATGAGGCACTGGGTTTGATCCTCAGCACTACAGAAAAAAACGAAATAAACAAAATAAAGATATTGTGTCCATCTACAACTTAAAATATTTTTTTAAAGTTATGGATAAAATGTGAACCCCCTAAAGCTGCAAGATGACTTCTTTTTTTTTTTTTTGGTACTGTGGATTGAACCCAGGGATGCTTAACCACTGAGTCACATCCCCAGTTCTTTTTCATATTTTATTTAGAAGCAGGGTCTCACTGAGTTGCTTAGGGCCTCACTAAGTTGCTGAGGCTGGCTATGAACTTATTATCTTCCTGCCTCAGCCTCCCGAGCCGCTGGGATTACAGGCAAGTGCCACCATGCCTGGCATAAGATGACTTCTTAATATGACCTTGAACAGTTATAATTTTCATTACATCTACTGTTAACATCTTACTTTTTAAGTTAACAGAACTTTTAATGCATGTGCCTGCTTGGGTAAGAATCAACGCATTGAACATTGTACCTAATGAAGGTGTTCGAACGGTCATTTTCTCACAAGGCCAACACAGATACACTTTGTATAAAAGTCAGCTCTTCTGCCAGCTTCATAAATGTGTTCTGCTGAGCAGCAGACTGTCTCCCATCCCACCACCCAACTCCCTAGCACCAAACTTTAACTACCAGCATCACAAAGCCCAAATAAATGACAACACACTAGATAAATCTAGCTGGATTGCAGCCCATTACAACGCAAGATAGAACAAAATGTGATTAATTTATTTTGTTTTTATTTTTTATTTCCTTCCCTATAGGAGGGAACTATTTAATGGAAAGGTGAAGAAGCTTTCTTTTCCATGCCTTCAAGCCTGCATAGAACAATATACTGATAAAATTTTTTAGTTTATTCCACAGGATCATAGTACAATTTAACTCATAATTGCCTCCAGTGCAGTAAGAGTTTATATGCAAGTTCAGGTTTTCAACTAGGTACACATCTGTCAGCCTATGGAAAATCTTTACTAATTAAATAACATTGAGATTGAACCACTCTAGTGGAAATCAATAAGTGGTAG